CGTTAGCTTAAAAATCACTTCCTTACAAACCTCCCCAAATTCTTCGTTTCTTCCGTCAATTTAACGTTCTCCTGAATCATAACCGTGGAAACATTCTGCGATTTTGGGAATGACCTCCAACACTGTAAGATCATCGTCTCTATCTTCTCTCCCTCCTTCACCTCTTCATCTTAGGACTCGAATCAGAATGTTGACCCTTCTTTTCCGTACCAGACTTACCCTTCACCAATGACTTCCCAGGCTTAGGCTTTTTGATGGCATGAGCCACATCAGCATTGATCTATCCAAAGATATGATGTGCAGTGTGCATGATCGACTAATTTCTCTGATACGTCCGAGCTTCAACTGAAGTTAAATTCATAGGACTTGGTGTCTTCGCGTTAGGTTTTCACAGTACTCTTTTGAGAATTGAACACTAGGGAGAACGTCATCAAGTTTGTCAATGTTTTTCATAGGGGTGAAAGGCTTTTGTGAAAATTCACTGGCACCTTCAGCTCGATCTTCTTGGACTTTCCCATCTTGATTCCTCTCGAGAGTTGCTCAGCCACCCTCGCTGACAAGTTGCTCAATTCAGATCTCAATTTAGATTTCCCTAATGTGTCCATGAGGATCCTGATGGGGATGATATGAAACTTAAAGCCGGCTCCTCACTCTTTCAAGAGCATTATGCGTTGTTGGAGAGTTAATAATAGACTTCTCGAACTCAACAGCCCTTCTCCTCAAAACAGACATTCTGACCACCATTTCCCTTGTTGATTGTAAAAGTTACCATAGATTTCATAATGACCTTCCTGCGCATATTGTTTCTTGCTCCCAATTGCTTCACCTCTGAACATTGCGCAGGAAAAATACTCCTGTTTTCTTGATATTTTAAAATGTTATCACAGAATGCCATAACCTATAACCGTTCTCCACTACTTATTCCCCCACCATAGCCCAAAATATGGAAGGGGGGGAAGACTCATTCCCGTAACTCCTGAACAACAATAGTTGCATGTTTTTTTCCCCATTGATTATCGATGTAATAATACTTTCCGAAATAGAAAAAACTATTTCCCTACAATTTCCAAGATATTTTGCATCGAGTAGAATTAAAATCGAGATACGCGATAGCGTATCGGCCAAGAAAAGTTTTGACCGACTGAGCAAAACATCAGGCTGAACGCACCGCGTATCTATACACGAAGCAACTACCCCCTCCACTACCACCGAAACCCATTTATTGAATAAAATGAAAACCTGATACCCTACGAAAAAAAAAGCTTTAGTTACATCACATAAATCGGCCATGAGCTTTCCATTGATATCACTATTTTCTTTTTCGACTTAATATTAAGGAAATTACGTGCATAGCAACGGGATCATATCAACATTCTCGCATTTCACATTATCTCTGAGCAGTGTGAGATTTCGTTTTCGAAGTTGGTAGCAGTGTGCTCCAACCTCACGCGCAGAGGAGGGAGATTTGAATAGCGCATTACTCTTTCTCTCTCCTTCTTGAATTCCACTGATTTACATTTTTTAGACTCATCATCGACTTATTGTAAAAATTACTGAAAAATTGATGAACAAGGTCATATAGCGCTGTATATTGCATATAAATTTTTCCCCTATCCTCGATTAATTTAGATTTTCAACTCAGTCCGTGAATAACATGTGGGCGAGTTTATTTCTGAGGTTATTTTACGCGGGTAATTTGAACGTTTGATTTTCTCATGAAATTCTCAAATCGAATCGGAGCATGAATTATAAATAAATGTAGGAAAGAAATACCTTTTTTTCTTAGAGCAGAAGTGATTGAAAATAGTTTCTGTTGCGCGGAAAAAAATCAATTCGATTCATACGAAAATGATCGTGTGCTCGTTTTGGAAAAATGACTGAAATCTCCCAAAAAAA